CACTGTAGCACCTACTGCCATAATAGATAAATAAGTTAATGTATGCATTAAGAAACATACACTGGAGAGAAACTAACATGTGTTGTTTTTAGAAGCCAGCATGAATTGAGGACTATTCATATCTCGATGGGAACTGGTATTATGCCTAAACGGATAATTGTATCATGAGCTCACCATAAAAATTATTCTGGGGAGTCATTATTAGTTCAGCCAACATTATGGAAAGCCTGATATGTACAAGAAGTTATAAGGCATAAGAGATGGGTGTGTTGGATTATGGAAGGAGTGAATTTTATGTAATGATGTCTAACACATCACTCCAAATTTTTTTAATTTAGTACATCACGTTGTTTATGTTTGTTCTTCTGGAATTGTTGGGGCAGGACTTGTGGGGACAACTCGTCTCTGCCTTCTTGGGGCATCAGCTGGAGTGACTCAACTGGGATTGGAAGATCCGCTCCCAATGTGGCATCCTCAATGGCCATTTTCTGGGTGCTCCATTGGAGATACCGGCCAGATAGTTGGTTCTCCTCCCTGTTACCTGGCACAAGGCTAGGCTGGGCTTCTCGCCGCATGGCCACTGGGTTCTGAAAGGAAGCGGGAAAGTCCTCATGTGCCAATGCTTATCCAGCGTTGGCTAGCTGCGTGCTTACTAATATCCCGCTGGCCAAAGCTAGTCACATGGTCAAATCCAGGGTCAATGTGGAGCCCACTCAAGGGCCTGAATACTGAAGGGCAGCCTGGTCCACTGGAGCCGGCAGTGTTAACCGACCATGGAAGAGTGACTGGAGAGTCACACACGAATACATCCTGTCCTGCCTTCGGTGGCTCACAGAGGAGAAACCTTCTGAATACTGGGAATGTTTTACTGCACATCCCAATGCGTAGATGTAGTGGATAAATTGTTTACTCAGGACAGTTACCTGCTTATGCTATATAGCCTATGCTATATAGCTTATGCTATTATAGATGTGACAACAGAAGCTCAGAAAAATGTAACCACAAGGTGGTACGCCCAATGCTGGGCCCAGGAAAGGGCATTTTGCACCTAAAACAAATGTATTTCTTACTCTCATTTCTGCAGTCAAGTCAAGGTAGTGACAGGTTTCACCTGTTCCAGGCCGTTTTCTTCCCTCGTTTGTATAAAGTGTTGCAGCAGCTTGCATTATGTCCTCAAGTAAAGCCTTCTTCTTGCTGTGTTTCATTTTCCTCCTTTCTCAAACAAGGAAGTTGGATTCAACGATCTCCACAGTTCCTGCCGATTGTTATATTTTACTATATAACACGACAGTGAGAAATGGAAAATTTCCTGCCACATCAGTAAACAAGGATGTCACAGTTATCGGCAATTGCAGCCCTCCAACCTGAGCTGATCAGCCCTGAGGGAACTCGGGAAGGAAAGAATACCCGCCATTTAGCAGCCGTGGGACTGTAGCCACCGTGAAAGCAGAGGATATTGGCCCCAGGTAGCTAAGGTGTACATCAAAGGAATGATTTCAGTGAAACCAGACTCTCGCATCTTCCTATACATAAAAAGGTGCTAAATTTCTTGAAAAGTGTTAGACACTCAGTTCTGTCTGACTCTCTGTGACCCCATGGACTGCAGCCCTCCAGACTCCTCTCCCATGGAGTTCTCCAGGCAAGAATACTGGAGTGGGTTGCCATTCCCTTCTCCAGGGGATCTTCCCAACCCAGGGGTCTCCTGCACTGCAAGCAGATTATCTTTATCATCTGAGCCACCAGGGAAGTCCTGAGAAACCTGGAAGTCTGGTTTCTCTAATTAGATGGTTTCTTTAATTAATTATTTAGTTGATACTCCTGACTACTTGCACTTGGTTGGAAAACTCCTATATATCCTAGTTCCTCCTCTTGCCTCCTCTGAATAGTTTCTCAGAGCTATCTAAAATGCTATCTCCCGGGCTGCATTTCTCATTTTACCCCCAAGCAAACTAACTTCCCAACTCTCTAAAAAAATTGAGTAATTAAAAAAAAAAAAAAACCATATCATGTTACATTAACAATGAAAAAAAAAGTGTTCTTTTTTTGACAAGCATATTCCTTACACTAGTTGAAGTCAGTAAAGCTAATTGGTAACTAAATAGTGAATCTGAATTTTCTCTGGATGTGTCTATTTGTTCCCTAACAGAGTCTGACCATGTAAATAAAGCAGAACAGAATGAGTTAGGACTGGCTCGTGGCTTTGCCAAAGCCAGCTTTTCCTCTCACGTGAAACTTGGTCTCTTTGATCAAAAGGTTAATTTCTACATTATTTGCCTTACAAGGTTGCTGAAAAGATAAAGTGAGATAACAGAAGTGAAAGTACTTAGCTTTAATTAGGGACTGAGAGTTTTTTTCTGTTCCTCTAATCACATTCTACTAGATTTCTGACAGCCATGCATCAGACTTCAGTTTGAAGAAAAAAAAAAAAATAGAGGAATTCACTCTGAGTCAGATATTCATCAACTTTTAGAGTATTAGCTCTGCTCATATCAAAGGGTGAAGTCTTAATTCTTTCAACGTTCTCTGTCACAGTCTCTGTGACCCTTTTAGTAAAACCCAAGGGACTGTACATGAAAAAGAAAAAAGAAGACATTTCTAAGAAGCAATATAAAACACTTCTGAGACTGTGGTGTTTTTCTTTTGAATGTGCCAAGTAGAAAAGCTGTCTTTTTTTTTTTTCAACTTCAGTTTCACTTTCAAAATTGCAGCACACTCCCCAGATGAAAACAAACTGGATTTGGACTAATGAAAAATAAAAGGAACGGTCATCTGTTGTCACAGTAAGTGAAGGTATGTTTTTTACATTCTTATTGACATAGGAGCTCTCCTGTTGGATAAAGCTAGAATCACGTTGGTTTTAACATTCTTTGGTCTTTATTTGATCTGGTGCTTGAAATGGAGTCAGAATCATTCAACAAGGAGAACAGAGGAAAGGGGAGAGGATGAAGAAGTGGGAAGAAGTATATGGTAACACAGAGGACAAGTGACAGCAATAATTTCTAATTAACATGAAAAAACATTTTGTGTGGTATTCTGTTTTTTTGTGATGTTCCATAGTGGGAAAGCACACTGAGGAGGTGAAAGAAATCATTCTGCAACTGCCTTCTTAAGACAAACAAACAAAAAAAATCACATCTTTTCTTAAAGGTACAAAGCCCTCTGAGCTTTAAAAAACTTATCTCCTTTTCTCAGTGTTTTTGGCTGGAGAGGAGATAGGGGCTGACATTCTTTAATGAATCTGACCATGAGAAAACATTCAGGCTTTCCTAGGAGTAAGCAAACAGCTTTCTTCGGCCTAAAAAGGAAAACGGAAGATGAGACATGGAAAAATGTCCAGAAGTGTAGAAAAGTCAGAAATGAGTAGATGTGGGTTGATCAGCCTCAGGCAGTACTGGTTTGGGGAAGCTGGCTCCAAATTTTCAAGTAGGATTACATGTTAGTGTGTGTCTGCATAAATTTAGGGGGAAATGTTGTGAATTTACAAACCAAACTGTACAAGCCAAACTATAAATAAGGATTAAGCAGCCTGGCTCCAGATGCCATGTCCCAAACATTATTGTCTTTCACTTAGAAAAGTGAAATGTGTAATCCTAAGTTTTCCAAAATTGCAAGGCTCAGTGAATCTACTTTTCATCTCTTTCAGCCTTTCTTTGTTTCTATTACATCTCATGAAACATCAGCTCTTCACTCTCATCTCATTCTCTCGCTGTGTTTTTGTTTATTTTACCGAAGTACATTCTAGAATTAAAGTCTTTTATGGAGGTTGCTTAGTTATAAACTTACTGAGTCTGTGCATATTTCAAAATGCTTTTTCCCCTTACCTTTAATTGTTCAGCCTGATATGAAATTTGAGGTTCAAAATTATTCCCCATGAATGTTTTGAAAACTTATCACTATTGTTTTCTAGTGACTTATGTTGCTGGTGAAAAGCTTTGTAGCAATCAGGATCTCTTTCCTGTGGAAGTAGTGGATCATATGTTCTCCTTAGAGAGTTCTAGGATATTTTTGGTGAGTGATCACAATTCTGAAGTTTCATAAGAATATGTGTATTTTTCCTTTTTCACTCACCCTGCCTGGCATTTGGTGAATCTTTTCTAGCAGATGAAGTGTTATCTTCAGATCTGGCAATGTCTTTCAGTCCTTACATGTTTTATAAATGGCTTAATCCTTCTTGGTAATTCTAATTTCTAGCTGTAGCCCTTGTGGAAGTGGTAAATGTCACCTAGACAAGGAGGGGAGTGTATTTTGGGGACTGTGCCTATGAACTGGTAAATAGAGGTCCTACCCTTATGGTACTAGGAGAAGAGTCTTAGGAACAGGTTTTAAAGTGAGAAATGTAACAATATAATAAATGAAATAAAAAACAACTAAGGAGAAATGTGAAGAGGATGAGGAAAGAGTATAATTAAGTTCCCTATTTGGGGGTGGGGGTGTGAAGAAACTACTTAAAGTCTGGAAATAAAGAAGAAGAAACATAAGCATATTATTCAGGTTTGTGGAAGTGACCATGAGAATTAAAAGTAGAAACTGTCAAGAGGTTTACCTTGGAAGGTTGCAACTGTGCCATGTGCTGTGCTTAGTCGCTCAGTTGTGTCTGCCTTTTTGTGACCCCATTGACTGTAGCCCACCAGGCTCCTCTGTCCATGGGGATTCTCCAGGTAGGAACACTGGAGTGGGTTGCCATGCCCTCCTCCAGGAGATCTCCCCAACCCAGGGATCAAACCCAAGTCTCCCACATTGCAGGTGGGTTCTTCACCCCTAATTCACCAGGGAAGGGGGAGAGTTTGTAGGTTCCATTTGTGACTTTTTTGTGCTGATTCAATCCACTTGATGTATTGCTTGTATAAAACATACTTGTTTATCATAAATGTTGTGAGTATCAAGAAGATACATAGTCACGTTTGGTTGCATATTATTACAAGGAATAAACCAATGAATATGAAAGTGCATGTTATTAATGCTGTCTATTATTTCTATGCTTTTCTTTATAAGGAAGAATCATGAGCAGGCCTTTGCCTTATCATATCTACTTTTTTTCGGGACTGTTGACCTGTTGGATACTATGTACCTCTTCTGCCAACAAATGTACTGTTAGACATGAAGTAGCCGATTGTAGTCATCTGAAGTTGACTCAAATACCTGATGACCTCCCAACAAACATAACTGTGTTGAATCTTACCCATAATCAACTCAGAAGATTGCCACCTGCCAATTTTACAAGATACAGCCAACTTACTATCTTGGATGGGGGATTTAACTCCATCTCAAAGCTGGAGCCAGAACTGTGTCAAAGTCTCCCTTGGTTGGAAGTTTTGAACCTCCAGCACAATGAGATATCCCAGCTTTCTGATAAAACCTTTATCTTCTGCATGAATTTGACTGAACTCCATCTAATGTCCAACTCAATCCAGAAAATTCAAAATGATCCCTTTAAAAACCTGAAGGTAAGAAAAATTAACATTTTCATGTAAGAAGTGAAAAATATATTATCAAATATTGTTTTTAAGTCATTTATGCATCATTAGACTTCATACCTATCAAGGTGAAGAATGAGAAGTCTGATCTACATAAATGGGAAGAGGGGGACCCCACACTCAAATATAACCATTATGATTGGAAATATTTTCAAAAGAGCAAATACTGTCTTAAGTCAGTTTCAATCTTAATTTTAAAGAACTCTCCTCTCTCACATCCTTCCACTTGAAACAGAACTTAGATATAAGATGTTGAGGCCAGAGATGAATCAGAATATCCCATGATGAAAGGCAAATAAACTCTCAGTACTGCTCATTTAGTACCTGCGGTGATGAAAAACTGTCGAGTCCAAAATCTGATTTAAATAAAGTTACAAACTGATGCATGATAAAGCAAATTGTTCAGTGAAAAATTACCTCCTTTTGATTTATGAAATCTTCTACAGTATTGCTTTTCCAGTGGCTACCACCTTTTTCTTGTCAGCACTTTACTTGAATTGTAAATCTATGCAAAACATATGCTAGTGTCTTTATTTTTTTTCCTTTTTTTTTCCATTTATTTATATTAGTTGGAGGCTAATTACTTTACAATATTGTAGTGGCTTTTTCCATATATTGATATGAATCAGCCATGGATTTACATGTGTTCCCCATCCTGAACCCCCTCCCACCTTCCTTCCCATCCCATCCCTCTGGGTCATCCTAGTGCCCCAGCCCTGAGCACTTGTCTCATGCATCAAACCTGGACTGGTGATCTGTTGCACAATTGATAATATACATGTTTCAATGCTATTATCTCAGATCATCCCACACTTGCCTTCTCCCATAGAGTCCAAAATTCTGTTCTATACATCTGTGACTCTTTTTTTGTCTTGCATATAGGGTTATTGTTACCATCTTTCGAAATTCCATATTTATGTGTTAGTATACTGTATTGGTGCTTTTTTTTTCTGGCTTACTTCACTCTGTATAATGGGCTCCAGTTTCATCCATCTCATTAGAACTGATTCAAATGTATTCTTTTTAATGGCTTAGTAATATTCCATCATATATATGTACCACAGCTTCCTTATCCATTCGTCTGCTGATGGGCATCTAGGTTGCTTCCATGTCCTGGCAATTATAAACAGTGCTGCAATGAACATTGGGGTGCAACATGTCTCTTTCAGATCTGGTTTCCTCAGTGTGTATGCCCAGGAGTGGGATTGCTGGGTCATATGGCAGTTCTATTTCCAGTTTTTTAAGGAATCTCCACACTGTTCTCCATAGTGGTTGTACTAATTTGCATTCCCACCAACAGTGTAAGAGGGTTCCCTTTTCTCCACACCCCTCCAGCATTTATTGCTTGTAGACTTTTGGATAGCAGCCATTCTGACTGGCATGTAATGGTACCTAATTTTGGTTTTGATTTGCATTTCTCTGATAATGAGTGATGTTGAGCATCTTTTCATGTGTCTTTTAGCCATCTGTATGTCTTCCTTGGAGAAATGTCTGTTTAGTTCTTTGGCCCATTTTTTGATTGGGTCATTTATTTTTCTGGAATTGAGCTGCAGGAGTTGCTTGTATATTTTTGAGATTAATTCTTTGTCTGTTGCTTCGTTTGCTATTATTTTCTCCCATTCTGAAGTCTGTCTTTTCACCTTGTTTATAGTTTCCTTTGTTGTGCAAAAGCCTTTAAGTTTAATTAGGTCCCATTTGTTTATTTTTGCTTTTATTTCCAAAATTCTGGGATGTGGGTCCTAGAGGATCCTGCTGTGATTTATGTTGGAGAGTGTTTTGCCTATGTTCTCCTCTAGGAGTTTTATAGTTTCTGGTCTTACATTTAGATCTTTAATCCATTTTGAGTTTATTTTTGTGTATGGTGTTAGAAAGTGTTCTAGTTTCATTCTTTTACAAGTGGTTGACCAGTTTTTCCAGCACCACTTGTTAAAGAGGTTGTCTTTTCTCCACTGTATATTCTTGCCTCCTTTGACAAAGACAGGGTGTCCATAGGTATGTGGATTTATCTCGGATTTCTATTCTGTTCCATTGATCTATATTTCTGTCTTTGTGCCAGTACCATACTGTCTTGATGACTGTGGCTTTGTAGTGGAGCCTGAAGTCAGGCAGATTGATTCCTCCAGTTCCATTCTTCTTTCTCAAGATTGCTTTGGCTATTCGAGGTTTTTTGTATTTCCATACAAATTGTGAAATTATTTGTTCTAGTTCTGTGAAAAATACAGTTGGTAGCTTGATAGGGATTGCATTGAATCTATAGATTGCTTTGGGTAGTATATTCATTTTCACTATATTGATTCTTCCAATCCATGAACATGGTATATTTCTCCATCTATTTGTGTTCTCTTTGATTTCTTTCATCAGTGTTTTATAGTTTTCTATGTATAGGTCTTTTGTTTCTTTAGGTAGATGTACTCCTAAGTATTTTATTCTTTTTGTTGCAATGGTGAATGGTATTGTTTCCTTAATTTCCCTTTCTGTTTTCTCATTGTTAGTGTATTTCTGTGTGTTAATTTTATAGCCTGCAACTTTACTATATTCATTGATTAGCTCTAGTAATTTTCTGGTAGAGTCTTTAGAGTTTTCTATGTAGAGGATCATGTCATCTGCAAACAGTGAGTTTTACTTCTTCTTTTCCTATCTGGATTCCTTTTATTTCTTTTTCTGCTCTGATTGCTGTGGCCAAAACTTCCAAAACTATGTTGAATAGTAGTGGTGAGAGTGGGCACCCTTGCCTTGTTCCTGACTTTAGGGGAAATGCTTTCAATTTTTCACCATTGAGGATAATGTTTGCTGTGGGTTTGTCATATATAGCTTTTATTATGTTGAGGTATGTTCCTTCTATTCCTGCTTTCTGGAGAGTTTTTTAAATCATAAATGGATGTTGAATTTTGTCAAAGGCTTTTTCTGCATCTATTGAAATAATCATATGGTTTTTATCTTTCAATTTGTTAATGTGGTGTATTACATTGATTGATTTGTGGATATTAAAGAATCCTTGCATTCCTGGGATAAAGCCCACTTGGTCATGATGTATGATCTTTTTAATATGTTGATGGATCCTGTTTGCTAGAATTTTGTTAAGGATTTTTGCATCTATGTTCATCAGTGATATTGGCCTGTAGTTTTCTTTTTTTTGTGGCATCTTTGTCTGGTTTTGGAATTAAGGTGATGGTGGCCTCATAGAATGAGTTTGGAAATTTACCTTCTTCTGCAATTTTCTGGAAGAGTTTGAGTAAAATAGGTGTTAGCTCTTCTCTAAATTTTTGGTAGAATTCAGCTGTGATGCCATCTGGTCCTGGGCTTTTGTTTGCTGGAAGATTTCTGAACACAGTTTCGATTTCCATGCTTGTGATGGATCTGTTAAGATCTTCTATTTCTTCCTGGTTCAATTTTGGAAAATTATACTTTTCTAAGAATTTGTCCATTTCTTCCAAGTTGTCCATTTTATTGGCATATAGCTGCTGGTAGTAGTCTCTTATGATCCTTTGCGTTTCTGTGTTGTCTGTTGTGATCTCTCCATTTTCATTTCTAATTTTGTTGATTTGATTCTTCTCCCTTTGTTTCTTGATGAATCTGGCTAACGGTTTGTCAATTTTATTTACCTTTTCAAGGAACCAGCTTTTGGTTTTATTGATTTTTGCTATGGTCTCTCTTATTTCTTTTGGATTTATTTCTGCCCTAATTTTTAAGATTTCTTTCCTTCTACTAACCCTGGGGTTCTTCATTTCTTCCTTTTCTAGTTGCTTTAGATGTAGAGTTAGGTTATTTATTTGACTTTTTTCTTGTTTCTTGAGGTAAGCCTGTATTGCTATGAACCTTCCCCTTAGCACTGCTTTCAAAGTGTCCCATAGGTTTTGGGTTGTTGTGTTTTCATTTTCATTCATTTCTATGCATATCTTGATTTCTTTTTTTATTTCTTCTATGATTTGTTGGTTATTCAGAAGCGTGTTATTTAGCCTCCATATGTTGGAATTTTTAATAGTTTTTTTTTTCCTGTAATTGAGATCTAATCTTACTGCATTGTGGTCAGAAAAGATGACTGGAATTATTTCAGTTTTTTTGAATTTACCAAGGCTAGACTTATTGCCCAGGATGTGATATATTCTGGAGAAGGTTCCATGTGCACTTGAGAAAAAGGTGAAATTGATTGTTTTGGGGTGAAATGTCCTATAGATAGCAATTAGGTCTAGCTGGTCCATTGTGTCATTTAAAGTTTGTGTTTGCTTGTTAATTTTCTATTTAGTTGATCTATCCATATGTGTGAGTAGGGTATTAAAGTCTCCCACTATTATTGTGCTATTGCTAATTTCCCCTTTCATACTTGCTAGCATTTGCCTTACATATTGTGGTGCTCCTATGTTGGGTGCATATATATTTTTAATTGTTATATCTTCTTCTTGGATTGATCCTTTGATCATTATGTAGTGTCCTTTTTTGTCTCTTTTCACTTTATTTTAAAGTCTATTTTATCTGATATGAGTATTGCAACTCCTGCTTTCTTTTGGTCTCAGTTTACGTGAAATATTTTTTTCCAGCCCTTCACTTTCAGTTGTATGTATCCCTTGTTTTGAGGTGGGTCTCTTGTAGACAGCATATATAGGGGTCTTGCTTTTGTATCCATTCAGCCAGTCTTTGTCTTTTGGTTGGGGCATTCAACACGTTTACATTTAAAGTAATTATTGATAAGTATGGTCCTGTTGCCATTTACGTTGTTGTTTTGGGTTCGCATTTATACAACCTTTCTGTGTTTCCTGTCTAGAGAAAATCCTTTAGCATTTGTTGAAGAGCTGGTTTGGTGGTGCTGAATTCTCTCAACTTTTGCTTGTCTGTAAAGCTTTTGATTTCTCCTTCATATCTGAATGAGATCTTTGCTGGGTACAGTAATCTAGACTGTAGGTTATTCTGTTTCATTACTTTAAGTATGTCCTGCCATTCCCTTCTGGCCTGAAGAGTTTCTATTGAAAGATCAGCTATTATCCTTATGGGAATCCCCTTGTGTGTTATTTGTTGTTTTTCCCTTGCTGCTTATAATAGTTGTTCTTTGTGTTTGATCTTTGTTAATTTTATTAATATGTGTCTTGGGGTGTTTCACCTTGGGTTTATCCTGTTTGGGACTCTCTGGGTTTCTTGGACTTGTGTGACTATTTCCTTCCCCATTTTAGGGAAGTTTTCAACTATTATCTCCTTGAGTATTTTGTCTTCTTCTTCTGGGACTCCTATGATTCAAATGTTGGGGGGTTTCACATTGTCCCAGAGGTCCCTGAAGTTGTCCTCATTTCTTTTTATTCATTTTTCCACTCTGCTTCATTTATTTCCACCATTCTGTCTTCTGCCTCACTTATCCTATCTTCTGCCTCCGTTATTCTACTGTTGGTTCCCTCCAGAGTGTTTTCTATCTCATTTATTGCATTATTCATTATTAATTGACTCTTTTTTATTTCTTCTAGGTCCTTGTTAAACATTTTTTGCATCTTCTCAATCCTTGTCTCCAGGCTATTTATCTGTAACTCCATTTTGTTTTCAAGATTTTAGATCATTTTTATTATCATTATTCTAAATTCTTTTTCAGGAAGATTCCCTATCTCTCCTCTTTTGTTTGGTTTAGTGGGCCTTTTTCATGTTCCTTTACCTGCTCAGTATTTCTCTGCCTTTTCATCTTGTTCAGATTGCTGTGTTTGGAGCGCCCTTTCTGTATTCTGGTAGTTTGTGGTTCCTCTTTATTGTGGAGGTTCCTCCCAGTGGGTAGGCTCGGACAACTGGCTTGTCAAGGTTTCCTGGTTAGGGAAGCTTGTGTCAGTGTTCTGGTGGGTGGAGCTGGATTTCTTCTCTCTGTAGTGCAATGGAGTGTCCAGTAGTGAGTTTTGAAATGTCTGTGGGTTTTGTGTGACTTTGGGCAGCCTGTATATTGATGCTCAGGGTTATGTTCCTGCATTGCTGAAGAATTTGTGTGTTATGTCTTGCTCTGGAACTTATTGGCTCTTGCATGGTGGTTGGTTTCAGTGTAGGTATGGAGGCTTTTGGATGATCTCTTATTAATTAATGTTCCCTGGATTCAAGAGTTCTCCGGTGTTCTCAGGTTTTGGGCTTAGGCCTTTGCCTCTGGTTTTCAGTCTTATTCTTCCAGTAGCCTCAAGACGTCTCCATCCATACAGCATTGATAATAAAATTCTAGGTTAATGATGAAAAGATTTGCCACTATGAGGGACACCCAAAGAGGTTCACAGAGTTACATGAAGAAGAGAAGAGGGAGGAAAGAGATAGAGGTAAGCAGGAGGAGAAAAAATGGGGAATCAAGATGAGAGAGACAGATCTAGGCAGTACTCTGTTCCCTAAGTGTTCTCCAGAGCCCAGAGCACCCACAGAGATTCACAGAATTGGGTTGAGAAGAGAAGGGGGAGGGAGGAAATAGAGGTGACCTGGGGGAGAAAAGGAGAGTTCAAAGGGGGAGAGAGTGATCAAGCCAGTAATCACACTCCTGAGTAAAAATGGGTACTGAAGATTGGATTCTTAAATGTACAAAATTGATATCAAATACTAAAAAACAAAGATTAAAAATCTAGAGTAGAGGTTACAGTCTTACAATATTAAAAAACAAAAACACAAAAAGTATAAGCAACATATATGAAGTTTGCTTTAAAAAATAGGGTCCTTTTTTTTTTTCTTGCAAGGTAGTAGTGGGTTATGAAAATGAAAGTTAAAGGAGTAATAGAGGACTTAAAAAAGAAGAAAAAAAATTTTTAATTAAAAAAATATTAATAATAGTAAAAATATATCTAGGAATTTCTCTGGAGCTGTTGCAGGCAGTGTGGGTTCAGTTCAGTTTCAGATAGTTCCTTGTTCCAGCTTATACTTCTCAATATCTATAGGCCTCTTCCAGTGTAGTCGGTGTTAACTACAGGGATTTTAGTCTGTTGCACCTATCACTTCTAAAGCGGTTCCCTTTGTTTATTTAGCTTCTGTTTGCAGGTCTCTTCAGTGTCTAATTTCCACCCTGACACACGCGGGTGGAGGTGGTCTCTTGTGTAGGTTCGCTTGTTCAGTCGTGCTGTGGGGAGGGAGGGGCGCTGCAGACAAATATCACTGGAGTGTGTGGGGAGTGCTCGCCGTATTCTGGCCACACTGGGTTTGGCCCCGCTCATGACGTGTGTGCTTTCCCCATCTACACTGCTCAGGCTCCCAGCTGCTCTACAGGGAGTGGGCCCTGAGTTGCGTGCATTTCCCAGGTTTAAGCCACTCAGGTTCAGGTTCTCGAGTACTCCACAAAGGCACAGACTCGGTTGGGCCTGTGTTTTGTGCCTTCCCCGTCCGAGCAGCTCAGGCAATCAGGCGCACTCTCTTCAGGTGCAGCGCGACTTCTCCCCTCCCCGTCCCCTCCTCAGTTTCTAGGCATGCCTCGTCCGCGCACCTTGTGTCTGTTCTGGGGCGCTGATCTCTGGCTGCGACCCTCCCGACCCTCCCGGCGGATGTCAACCATCCAGAATCTCAGGAAGTCTTTGGTTAGAAACTGGGGGGAGCCTGTTTGCAGTTTGGTAAGGGATGCCTTCTCTGGGGCCGAGTTTGCCCCTTTCCAGCTCTGGCTGGCACCCGCCTACCCCCTGCCTCTGGCAGGGGATGGACAGGTCCATATTTTTCCTCCCAGTTAGGTTGCCCTCTTAGATTTGAAAACTTCCCCCAGACCCGCCAGTGAGAGGGTTTCCTGGTGTTTGGAGACTTCCTCTGTTAAGACTCCCTTCCCAGGATGGATCTCCGTCCCTAACTCTTTTGTCTCTCTTTTTATCTTTTATATTTTGTCCTACCTCCTTTCAAAGACAATGGGCTGCCTCTCTGGGTGCCTGATGTCCTCTGCCAGCAATCAGAAGTTGTTTTGTGGAGTTTTCTCAGTGTTCAAATGTTCTTTCAGTGAATTTGTGGGGGAGAAAGTGGTCTCTCCATCCTATTCCTCCACCATCTTAGCTCCTCCCCCCGCTAGTATCTTTAAATCTGAGGCAATTATTAAGTGCTTTTTTATATCAAAGTTATTTTCCGAACTCTTTGTTTTCTTCATTTTGTGGGCTAACAAAAAAAATGAGCATCCCTTGGCCTTAGATACCAAGAATAATGAACACATTTAATATGTTTAGACATATTTATAAAATGATTCACTGGATAGCTGGGGATTTGAAATGCTTTCTTGTTGTGCCTGATGTTGATGTGGATGAAATGTCTTTGGACCCAAAGACCTCAAAATCTGGTTAATTGCTGGCAAGATGTTATTTTTATTTTTAAAACATAAATTGAAGGCTTATGCTATTAATAGACATTATGTAAGACTTTGCCCTAACATGTATCAGCTTTTCCTTATGTTTTACCTGAGTGGAAGTTTACATATTCAAAAGTAGCACAAAATGGTAAAACATCCCAAAGCACAGACAAAACAGATAAAAATTAGTATTCTGTACTAGTCAGCATGCAAAATTTACACAACCACCAATATTTCTCAATATAAAAATCCTTTTAAAATTTCATGGCCGGTAACATTCTCTTCATGCCTCTTAAGATGCTGTTTCTTCAACTTTTTTTCTGTTGTTTAGATTCAAGGCTAATGCATAACTATATGTTTGATAAGCCACATGGATATTTCCTACATCATAAATGAAAGCTTATTATAAATAAGTAAAATGCTTATTATGAATATTCTTTACATCATGACAAATAAAACTTGTCTTTATATTTTGGAAGAGAAGTAAATTATTTGAATTAAGAAATTCATCTTTGTAGCAATGGTGTTTTCAGTAACAATCAGGATTTCTTGTCAGGGAATGTTTAACAGGAGGATTCCTGTGTGCTGTTTTCTATTTCTCATAAATCCTCTCTTCCGTATCAGTTCCTGGTAACAGGAACGAGTGGAACGGCACACTGCTCCCAGGAATGAGGTCATAGGATGAAACACACGCATGGATCTCCTTCAGTAAACATTCTCCTTAGGACAAAACTGCTTAGTCAAGATCCTCTTGAGCTATGGATTGTCTCCTGACCTTATGACCGTTGTTAATCCTTTGTTCCTTTGATAATGATTGCTGTAGGTTTGGCTCCACCAGAGACTTGGGTCTCTCTCTCTCTCTCTCTCTCTCTCTCTCACTGACTCACTCACTCACTCCGGCTAATTTTCTGGAGCGTGGAAACCTGCCGAGCTCACTCTCCTGCCCAGGCTTTCAAGACCTCCTCGAGAGGGTGCTCTGTGCCTCCGTGAGTGGTACAAGTCCTGTCCTAGGGCTTTATTGGTTCTCTGCATAACCCAAGGACTATTAGCTTCTTTCTCTCTTTCACTTTCTTATCATCAACTTTGGACCACCAGGTTCCAGTCCATTAAAGGACTACAACAATTTCTTACTATTCCTACAGTCAGTTTTCTAGAGAAAAATTGAGATATGCTATTTTGCTGTCCAGTTATTTCTAAGATTCATGTACATTTAGAAGAACCATTTTGGTGCCAAGACTATAGCTTACATACACATTTTTTTTCTCCTCAGAATTTAATCAAATTAGACCTCTCTCATAATGGCTTATCATCTACTAAATTAGGAACTCAGCTCCAACTGGAAAACCTTCAAGAGCTTCTATTATCAAATAATAAAATTTCTTCACTAACACCAGAAGAACTTGATTTTCTTGGCAATTCTTCTTTAAAAAGATTAGAGTTGTCATCAAATCAAATCAAAGAGGTAAGGTAAAAATTCCTGTGTTTTACTTTTCAGTGTGGGCAGACCCTAATTGTCTTATATGGATGAGAATCTAAAGCTAGAAATGAGAAAGGGATGATAACCTTTGTCATGTTTTCCAGAAATCCTTCATACATACTGCTTCAGGCCATTGATGTCAGCCTCACAAGAAAGTGAGTTTGGTAGCTGCTAGAATCCAGAATCTAGGGCTGTGCTGTCAAAAAGAAGTGGAAGGTCCACTACAGACCAGAACTTTGGCCTTGGGGAACTTACACACTTCTCTGGGTCTAGTTTCCTTGCCTATAAAGTGGAAATAATGCTACCTATTGTACAGAAGCCCTGGAAAAGTTAATAATAGTATGATGGTTAAGAGCACAGACTTTCAAATTGAGTTAGCTGATTTCCTGTCTGGGCTTTATCTGTTAGTAATTATGTAATCGGGCAAATGATTCAAGTTCTGTCTGCTCCAGTTCCCTAGATCTAAAATGGATATAGTAATTACACTTCCCCATAGGGTTGTGTGGCAAAGAATTTAGCACAGTCTCTGGCATATAGGAAGTTCTCAATAAATGATAACTAGCATTGTATTTTTACAAACATCTTCCTATAACGGAGTAAACCTAATCTGCTCTTTCTTGGGTCTATGACCATCAATTTGCTAATTATTTTTGCATGCAGGTATGTCTGTATTTTATTCTTTTACAAGCCAAGAAGAAGAGTATCGGGAATTCTAAGCAAAATAAATTTTTATAAAGCTATGTTGATTTTCAGATAAAAAAAGAGACTGTGAATGAAATTATCATGAGATAATAATTAAATCTTATGCAAGCTATTCATGTTCATTTTGAACAGCATTTTTTGGCTTAGAACATCTATTGTAGAAATATATAAATAAATAAATGTAAAATATGTTAAGTAATGAGAAGAAAAAAATCATCCAAAACCCCATAATCCAAGGCAACCAGTGTTAGAATTTGGATATGTTTGTATCCAGCTTTTATCCACCTAATAAAAGAAATAACAACAGCAGCCGACATTCATACAGTACTTAAGTGTCAGGCATTGTGACAAGTTATTTTTTTTAAATTTTATTTTGTATTGGGATATAGCTGATTAACAATTCTGTGATAGTTTCAGGTGATCAGCAAAGGAATATAGCCTAATTTTATACAGTTCTGTACTAACTTATGCCTATCATGGTTTTACACAGGAGTAAATTGAGGGACTTCCCCCAGTGATCTAGTGGCTAAGATGCAACACTCGCAATGCGAGGGCCTAGATTCAGTCTTTGATCAAGGAACTAGATTCCACATGATGCAACAGTAAATTGAGATGAGGAAAAGTTAAGGAGCTTACCCAGAATCTCAGGTGATGGGCTGGTGACAGAGCTGGGTTTCTAGAAGTGTTAAATCAGGGCATGTACTCTTCCCAGCTGTGCTGTATTGCTTCTCTGAGGATGACAGTGCATCCTGCCTTTTAAAATTAATATCCTGTCATTATCCTCCATGTCATTAAGAGTTATTCAAAAACTCAATTTTAGTGACAGCAAAATAACCCTATCATATAGATTTACCTTAATTAATCTGACCCTTAATTAATTAAAAGGCCCTGATGCTGGGAAAGATTGAGGGCAGGAGGAGAAGGGGATGACAGAGGATGAGATGGTTGGATGGCATCACCGACTCAACGGACATGGGTTTGGGTAGACTCTGGCAGTTGGTGATGGACAGGGAGCCCTGGTGTGCTGCGGTTCATGGGGTCGTAAAGAGTCGCTCATGACTGAGCAACTGAACTGAATCTAATCATTTTCCTGCTTTGTATTTTGACTCACTTATGATAAAACACTTTCTTCCACCTTTCTGTCATTTCTTCCATTAGCTCTAAGGTCACACCAGTGACATGTTAGAAACCAGAGCCTCTTTGCTCTCCCAGAAGACTTGGTCTATCCTCCCTGGATTCCTTCTCTCCTGCCTTCTGCCCTCTTGTTCCAGCGCTGAGTCCCAGGGCAGCCAAGGCTTCCGGTGAGGGTCTGGGGGGCAGAGCATAAGGCAGATGGAAACAACGTAATGAAATAATCAGCAGAAACCTTGGTGGAAAGACAGAGTGTCTCTGGAGCTCAGAGTCACAGAAGGGAAAGTGTATGTCAGTGAACACTTCAGTCAGTGGGTGGTAATAAAATCCATTCCTTCATTCCAGGGTGTTCACTGAGAGCAGTGATCACCAAGACAGAAACAGCGCCTGCCCCAGAGCTTACTTTGCAAAGAGTTTACTAATTACAGTTATACTTACGATGGTGAAGTAAAAGTACTAAGTGTATGTGTTAGCCACTCAGTCATGTCCAACTCTTTGTAACCCCATGGACTGTGGCCTGCCAGGCTCCTCTGTCCATGGGATTCTCCAGGTAAGAATACTGGAGGGGGTAGCCCTTCCCTTCTCCAGGGGATCTTCCCCACCCAGGGATCAAACCCAGGTCTCCCACATTGCAGGCAGATTCTTTACCAGCTGAGCCACAGGGGAAGCTGCTTAACCTAGCCTGGGAGATCAGGGAAGACCCTCTGAGGAAGTGGCATGGAGGCCAAGATGTGGGTGCTGAGTAGTGGCCAGTGACCAGTGGGAGTACAGGCTGGAGCAGGAGGTGGGACAGAGGCACAGAGGAAGGAGCTGGGAAAGAGAGGGATGGAGAGAAAACCCAGAGGAGGTGGTGAAAGAGGAAAGGAAATTGAGTAAAGGACTGTGCCTGTTTTCCAAGGGTCATACAGACTCTGCTGTGTTTTGATCATTAACCTCTTCTTCTATCCCACTCTTAGTTCTCTCCTGGGTGTTTTCATGCCATTGGAAAATTATCTGGCCTCTCTCTAAACAATGCCAAGCTGAGCCCCAGTCTCATAGAGAAGCTCTGCTTGGAATTGTCAAATACAAGCATTGAGAATCTGTCGCTGAGCAGCAACCAGCTGGACACCATCAGCCACATGACCTTCGATGGACTGAAGCAGACAAATCTCACCACACTGGACCTTTCCCGTAACTCCTTACGTGTGATGAGCAATGACTCCTTTGCCTGGCTTCCCCATCTCGAATACCTCTTTCTGGAGTATAATAACATAGAGCATTTGTCTTCTCGCTCTTTCTTTGGGCTTTCCAGCTTGAGACACCTGAACTTGAGACGGTCTTTTGCTAGACAAAGCATTTCACTGACTTCACTCCCCAAGATTGACGATTTTTCCTTTCAGTGGCTAAAATGTTTGGAGTACCTCAACATGGAAGATAACAACTTTCCAGGCATAAAAAGAAATACTTTCACAGGATTGGTGAGGCTGAAATTTTTAAGTCTATCTGACTCCTTCTCAAGTTTGCGGACTTTAACAAATGAGACATTTCTATCACTCGCTGGTTCTCCTCTGCTCCTACTCAACCTAACCAAAAATAAAATCTCAAAAATACAGAGTGGTGCTTTTTCTTGGTTGGGGCACCTGGAGATGCTTGACCTCGGCCTGAATGAAATTGGGCAAGAACTCACAGGCCAGGAATGGAAAGGCCTAGACAATATTGTCGAACTCTACCTTTCCTACAACAAATACCTAGAGCTGACCACCAACTCTTTCACCTCAGTTCCAAGCCTTCAAAGACTGATGCTCCGAAGGGTGGCCCTGAAACATGTGGATAGCTCCCCTTCGCCTTTTCACCCTCTTCTGAACCTGGTCATTCTGGATCTAAGCAACAACAACATTGCCAACATAAATGATGAATTGTTGAAGGGTCTTGAGAAACTAGAAATTCTGGATTTGCAGCATAACAACTTAGCTCGGCTCTGGAAGCATGCCAACCCTGGTGGTCCTGTTCAGTTTCTAAAAGGTCTTTCTCGCCTCCACATCCTTAACTTAGAGTCTAATGGCTTTGATGAGATCCCAGTGGAAGCCTTCAAGGACTTACGTGAATTGAAGAGTATTGATTTAGGAATGAATAATTTAAATATCCTTCCACAATCTGTATTTGATAATCAAGTGTCACTAAAGTCATTAAGCCTTCAGAAGAACCTCATAACATCTGTTGAAAAAACTGTTTTTGGGCTAGCATTCAGTAATCTGAATTATTTAGATATGAGTTTTAATCCATTTGATTGTACCTGTGAAAGCATTGCCTGGTTTGTTAACTGGATTAATAGTACCCACAGCAACATCTCTGAACTAAGGAACCATTACCTCTGCAACACTCCGCCTCAATACCATGGTTTCCCAGTAGTGCTTTTCGATGTATCGGCCTGCAAAGACAGTGCCCCATTTGAACTCCTTTTCATGATTAGCACCAATATCCTTTTGATTTTTATCTTTATTGTACTGCTCATCCATTTTGAAGGCTGGAGGATATCTTTTTATTGGAATGTTTCAGTGCATCGAGTTCTCGGTTTCAAAGAAATAGACAGAGCAGAGCAGTTTGAATATGCAGCATATATAATTCATGCCTATAAAGATAGGGATTGGGTCTGGAAGCACTTCTCCCCAATGGAAGAAGAAGATCATACTCTCAGATTTTGTTTGGAAGAAAGGGACTTTGAGGCAGGTGTCTTTGAACTTGAAGCAATTGTGAACAGCATCAGAAGGAGCAGAAAAATTATTTTTATTATAACACAGAATCTATTGAAAGATGCATTATGCAAAAGGTGGGTGAACACTATGACATTTGAAATGTATTCTTATCTTTAAATTGAGATTTTGGTTTTTTTAAATTTTTTAAATTTTATTTTATTGATTTGGCTGTGTCCTCTTAGTTGTGGCACTTGAGATCGTCCATGCATCATGGGGTGCATCGGCTCTCTAGTTGTGGTCCATGGGCTCAGCAGTTGGCAGCATGCAGGCCTAGTTTCTCCGCAGCATGTGGGATCCTCACTCCCCTGTGCATGCTTGCTCAGTCACTTCAGGCATGTCCGACTCTTTAGTTCCCCACCAGGGATCAAACCCATGTCCACTGCATTGGCAGGTGGAGTATTTACCACTGAGCCGCCAGGGAAGCCTCAGGACCACCAGAAAGTGAAAGTGAAAGTCGCTCAGTCGTGTCTGACCGTTTGTGACCCCATGGACTATACAGTCCATGGAATTCTCCAGGCCAGAATTCTGGAGTGGGTAGCCGTTCCTTCTCCAGGGGATCTTCCCAACCCAGGGATCACACCCAGGTGTCCCGCATCGCAGGCGTGTTCTCTACCAGCTGAGCCACAAGGGAAGCCAGGAAAGCCCCTGAATCCAGCTTTTAAATATTACTAACATTATTACTCACAACTCAAAGTATTTTAAAAATAAAACTAAGAAGAAACATAACCTGGGTTTTAGCGACAAGACTAAAGTTAATTACAAGGAGAATGTTAGATTTTAGAGCTTTGGCCTGTTAAAAACTGTGTATTGATATATGACTTAATGTTTTTAACTTAGATTCAAGGTTCACCATGCAGTTCAGCAAGCTATTGAACAAAACCTGGATTCCATTATATTGATCTTTCTTGAGGAGATTCCGGATTATAAACTGAACCATGCACTCTGTCTGCGAAGAGGGATGTTTAAATCTCATTGCATTTTGAACTGGCCAGTTCAGAAAGAACGGGTAAATGCTTTTCATCATAAATTGAAAGTAGCACTTGGGTCCAGAAATTCAGTACATTAAATTTATTTAAAGACTAAATTAAAGGAGTAAGTTTCCTAATTTTAAAAAGTTCCATGGTAAATTTACATTTTCCTTGACAATAGCATAAATCTGTTCGTTCATATTCATAAGTAAGAATATCACCACTATGTCTATTCTATGGAAATATGTCTCCCTATTTCAGTCCTTTTATTACCATTTGACATAATCTGACCCAAAATAAACATATAAGAATATCTTTTACTAACAAACACACAGTTAGGTTACTGAGGCCTATGAAAACAGTTTGAAATAGTCCTCAGTTTAAAGAAAAGTTAGAGGTATATGAGGGTTTGTGATAATTATATTTGTTATTTCTTTTTCTGGATGCACTCAGAATAAAATATGACTTTTAATGGGTACAATGCTATTTCAGTTGTGAAAGGGTAAAATGTACACCCATATTTTTAAAAGTTTAATTACAGCAATTTTTTAACTGCAAACTTTGTGTTTTAGTGGTGCCTGTTGCAGTCTTGATTTTATTAAATGTTAAATGCCATTTTAGTAAACATGTGTGTGTGCTCAGTTGCTGAGTTGGTGTCTGACTCTTTTCGACCCTGTGGCTGGGCACTTCATCAGTCCATGGGATTTCCCGGGCAAGAATATTGAAGTGAGTTGCCATTTCCCTCTCCAGGGGATCTTCCCGACCCAGGGAACAAACCCATGTCTCTTGTACCTCCTGACTTGGCAGGCAGATTCTTTACTACTGTCCCACCTGGGAATCCCATACATGCAGGACAAAAAACATTTATTCTTCATTTTGATTACTTAATAAAATAAATATTTTAATGAATACTTATGTTTCCTGATATTTGGAATTCTGAGGCATAAGAAGAAACAATTCTTTTACTTACAAGTGTTTCAGAAGGCTTACTTCCCGAAGGTTCATTAGTAGATTGGTTTTGTGGAAACAAAATATTGTCTTACCCTGGTCACAGACTCAGGAGATGGCATGGGCCAATTCACTTGGTTCCACTGGGATTTTCTGCCTGCCAATCTTGAAAATTATAGTGATTAACAAAATCTTAACTATTCCTACCTGACTCATTTGAAAAGACCCTGATGCTGGGAAAGATTGAAGGCAGGAGGAGAAGGGGATGACAGAGGATGACATGGTTGAATGGCATCACTGACTCAATGGACAAGAGTTTGAGTAAACTCCAGGAGATGGTGATGGACAGGGAGGCCTGGCATGCTGCAGTCCATGGGGTTGCAAAGAGTCGGACACAACAGAGCTATTGAACTGAACTGAACTATTCCTACATCATTAGTGATGATGATTGTGGTATAATATATTCACATAGACTATATTATTATAACCATTTAAAAAGTATCCTGTGTATAAGTTACTCCTTATGATTATTTTGTTTTACTTTCATTGTATAGTTTAAAAAGGGTCTAATTATTGGAAATAGATGTGAATAGCTTTTTAATATTCAAATATAAGGGAGAGTTGAAATGATCATGCTGAGATACTTTCTGTATTTGAAGCACTCATTTGTCTGCTGAATTTAGGAAGCATGTGAGATGTCACATTTTGGAGATTTGGTTTAAATATTCTGTGTTTTATATTAACTGTATATATATATATATATATATATATATATATATATATATATACACACACACAGAGAACTATTAAATAGTTCTGTATTCTCAGGGCAAGTTCATGTAATCCTAAAGAAAGTACACTCGCTGTCCTGCTGGTTCTGAAGAACTCTACAACAACATGAGTATATGGAGAATTTATTTTCGCTCTCACGTTATTTGTCACCCTTACACTTGATAAGTTTGTTTTATTGTTTTTTGTAAAGATTTGTTTTCTAACTGTGAAAAGTGAGAGTGAAAGTCATTGAGTCATGTCCGACTCTTTGCGACCCCATGGACTATATAATCCATAGAATTCTCTAGGCCAGAATACTGGAGTGAGTAGCTTTTCCCTTCTCCAGGGGATCTTCCCAACCCAGGGATCAAACCCAGGTCTCCCGCATTGCAGGTGGATTCTTTACCAGCTGAGCCACAAGGGAAGCCCATCTGTGAAAGAATCCTGTTTTATTTTGGCATCATAAAATATATATCACAACTGCTTTCTTCTTGATGCACTTGGTATGTTATCTATCAATATTCCCAACCTCATTGAAACATTTCAAGGTCTATTTATTATTATTATGAATTTATCAATATATTATCAGTTTGTGAAAAGCAAAGCAGAAAGTTATTTTGCTTTCTCTCTCTTGTTTATTTGTTTATGAAGTGATCGATCACAGGGGCACAATTTAAATTGAGCTCAAATGTCATTTTTTAGATGTTGCTTAATATTTATGAGGTTAGGCTGTACAAGGGATGACCAGTTTAACTGAATATAAATATAACTAATAAAAGGTATAAGCCTTGACTTGTGTTTGACTCACACCAGAAGCAGCAGCCGGTTCTTCTGAAGGTTGACCTTTCTAATTGTTCTCAGGAGGAGTCCATCCCCCTTGGGTTCAAGACAAAGGGAGTACAGAAAAGGATGTTTGTCTGACCCAATTTCCACAGTTGAACTGACTTGTCTGAATGCGCTCAGAATGTCATCGTGTAAACCATTCATCCCAACTCCTTCCCGTTTTCACTTTCAGAACAGAATCCAGCTGAATCAACAACATGGAGTTTGAAATAAATCTAGGTATTGAGATTTAAAAGTGACACCTTTTAGGCTGCAGTAAGTAGGTGCAACCCATTTGTGAGAAGGAGAGGTTTTCAACGCCATTTACTTAACAATGTTTACTTTTTTGAATGTCTACCTTGGATTATTTGTAAAAGGGTCTCAGTAAGTGATGGCCATCCTGAGAAAATGTAAAGATGTTCCAAATCAAGAGCTCAAAATATGTTTCTTGCCAACCCTAGAGACAGTGGGCATCAGAGATCTTTTGGGGGTGGTGAAAATGTCCTGAAATTGGATTGTGGTTAGGGATTGCACAACACTGTAAATTTACTAAAAATCACTGAATCATACACTTAAAACAGGTGAATTTTTGGTATGAAAATTAAACAGTAATATAGCTATTTAAAAATCATTTCATTGAAGAGCTAGCTACATGTGCCTATACTTAGTCACTAAATCGTGTCCAACTCTTTGGGACCCCATGGAGTGTAGGCTTCTCTGTCCATGGGATTCTCCAGGCAAGAATGCTGGAGTGGATTGACATTTCCTTCTCCAGTATGTGCCTAATCCTATGCTAAGCACTGTGGGATACAGTTGGGTCTAAGATGCACTGTAGGAAGTGGGGCAGTAGGAGCTGAGGTAGGAAGGGATGCTCAGAGATGGACATGGCAAGGAAGGATTTTGGTGAGTGACAAGGAAGATGGCAGAATGAACTGTAAGATGGAAGGGAAGGAGGGAGACATGGCTTATTGCTGGAAGATAGGGTACGCAGAGGATGGAACCATATTGCGGAGGGCATGGCAGAAGAGCTTAGATTTAAGGGGTTAGGTATTTTGTGTTTGTTTTGGTTTTGCTTGTTTCTCATATTTATTTATTTATGTAGCTATGCCTGGTCTAAGTTGCAGCACGCAGGGTCTTTGGTTTGGCATCCGGGCATCTGGTTCCCTGAGCAGGGATGGAACCTGGGTCCCCTGCATGGGGTACTCAGGGTCTTAGCCACTGAACCACCAGGGAAGTGCTTAAGGTATTTTGAAGTTGTAACTTGGTGGATTTATATTGGCAAAATGAGAAATTATCATAAAATTCCCTCTTGGGGTCTGTGACTTCGATTTACATGACACCTGGTTGAACAGAGGAGCATAACTGGTAACTTCAGAGTCCACACAAGCCAGACCTACTCTCACATAACACAAGGGGGTTTGAAGCGTTTTTTTCCGATAAATATATAAATCTGTATTAAAATAGCAAAGAATGATAATCAATTGATCACTAGTTACTAAGTACACCAGGTGATATGTCAGCCATTCTTAGCTCTTGCAACCAAGCTTCAATCCATATTACTGTTCAGGGGAAAAATTGGTTCTGTGACTTTCCCCCCCACCAGCTTAACAAACAGTCATGAGGGAGGGGGTCACAGCACTTTTCAGTGATGGAAAACTTTTCCAGTTCTAGGTGAGAATTCCTGGGAAACCCGTTCTGAATTCTTAGTTCACTTTTATCTTAAGTCAGCTCCCCAGAAAACAGACTCCTGGAGGGAGATTAACTGAAGCAGGTGTCAAGTTAAAAATATTCACAACCTAAAAGTTGAGTTGTATTTTATTCGGCGGGAATTTTTTTTTTCTTTTTTTTTTCCATTTATTTTTATTAGTTGGAGGCTAATTACTTTACAACATTGCAGTGGTTTTTGTCATACATTGAAATGAATTAGCCATGGATTTACATGTATTCCCCATCCCGGTCCCCTCTCCCACCTCCCTCTCCACCCCATCCCTCTGGGTCTTCCCAGTGCACCAGGCCCGAGCACTTGTCTCATGCATCCAACCTGGGCTGGTGATCTGTTTCACCCTAGATATACATGTTTCAATGCTGTTCTCTTGAAACATCCCACCCTCACCTTCTCCCACAGAGTCCACAAGTCTGTTCTATACATCTGAGTCTCTTTTTCTGTTTTGCATATAGGGTTATCGTTACCATCTTTCTAAATTCCATATATATGTGTTAATATACTGTAATGGTCTTTTTTTGGCTTACTTCGCTCTGTATAATGGGCTCCAGTTTCATCCATCTCATTAGAACTGATTCAAATGAATTCTTTTTAATGGCTGAGTAATATTCCATGGTGTATATGTACCACAGCTTCCTCATCCATTCGTCTGCTGATGGGCATCTAGGTTGCTTCCATGTCCTGGCTATTATAAACAGTGCTGCGATGAACATTGGGGTGCACGTGTCTCTTTCAGATCTGGTTTCCTCAGTGTGTATGCCTAGAAGTGGTATTGCTGGGTCATATGGCAGTTCTATTTCCAGCTTTTTAAGGAATCTCCACACTGTTTTCCAT